GATTTAAATATGTTAATTAGGAAAATTTGTGAACAGGATTAGACCAGAAAGGAGGAAACAATTTGTATCTACAGAATCGTATGTAGCTCGGATGAAAAGAAAAATCCAGAAATCTTTCTAAGTTGCTAACAGTAGCAAATACCCTCAAATGTTCTCAAAAACTAAAAATTGGGATTTTAAATTCAAGTGAATTGGAGAACTGCAAACATCGGTATTATTAACAGAACATAATTTGTATACTATAGGAATAAAAGACTTTTTTTTCAATAAATAGTAAGAATTAGCTTTAGAAAAGGGTCAATTAGGTATGAAGTAGGTATTAGACCAAACCTTTAGAGAAATTGATTAGGTCATTAAAGGAGTGCAGTAGAACAGAGTCAGCATGGATGTGTGGTGCTCAACATTATAGCCAAAACAAGTAATTATCATATACGAACAAAATGTATTGAAGTACATTATAACCGGATGTTGTACTATTTTATATAGATTAGGAAACATGCTAAGGTACAAAAAATGACAACGGGAACCACGATATATCATTCAAACTGCTAGAGTGGGCTATGGATAAGTAGAATGTTACTGATGAAATGTGTTGTATACTAAAATGAAATTGTTGTATTATGTTGTATGATTAATACAACATTATGTTGTATAACCTGTTACTGTTGTATTATGTTGTATAACCTGTTACTGTTGTATTATGTTGTATAACATGTTACTGTTGTATTATGTTGTATAACATGTTACTGTTGTATTATGTTGTATAACTATATGTTACTGTTGTATTATGTTGTATAACATGTTACTGTTGTATTATGTTGTATAACTATATGTTACTGTTGTATTATGTTGTATAACATGTTACTGTTGTATTATGTTGTATAACTATATGTTACTGTTGTATTATGTTGTATAACATGTTACTGTTGTATTATGTTGTATAACTATATGTTACTGTTGTATTATGTTGTATAACATGTTACTGTTGTATTATGTTGTATAACTATATGTTACTGTTGTATTATGTTGTATAACATGTTACTGTTGTATTATGTTGTATAACTATATGTTACTGTTGTATTATGTTGTATAACAACATGTTACTGCTGTATTGTGTTGTATAACAACATGTTACTGTTGTATTGTGTTGTATAACAACATGTTACTGTTGTATTGTGTTGTATAACAACATGTTACTGTTGTATTGTGTTGTATAACAACATGTTACTGTTGTATTGTGTTGTATAACAACATGTTACTGTTGTATTGTGTTGTATAACAACATGTTACTGTTGTATTGTGTTGTATAACAACATGTTACTGTTGTATTGTGTTGTATAACAACATGTTACTGTTGTATTGTGTTGTATAACAACATGTTACTGTTGTATTGTGTTGTATAACAACATGTTACTGTTGTATTGTGTTGTATAACAACATGTTACTGTTGTATTGTGTTGTATAACAACATGTTACTGTTGTATTGTGTTGTATAACAACATGTTACTGTTGTATTGTGTTGTATAACAACATGTTACTGTTGTATTGTGTTGTATAACAACATGTTACTGTTGTATTGTGTTGTATAACAACATGTTACTGTTGTATTGTGTTGTATAACAACATGTTACTGTTGTATTGTGTTGTATAACAACATGTTACTGTTGTATTGTGTTGTATAACAACATGTTACTGTTGTATTGTGTTGTATAACAACATGTTACTGTTGTATTGTGTTGTATAACAACATGTTACTGTTGTATTGTGTTGTATAACAACATGTTACTGTTGTATTGTGTTGTATAACAACATGTTACTGTTGTATTGTGTTGTATAACAACATGTTACTGTTGTATTGTGTTGTATAACAACATGTTACTGTTGTATTGTGTTGTATAACAACATGTTACTGTTGTATTGTGTTGTATAACAACATGTTACTGTTGTATTGTGTTGTATAACAACATGTTACTGTTGTATTGTGTTGTATAACAACATGTTACTGTTGTATTGTGTTGTATAACAACATGTTACTGTTGTATTGTGTTGTATAACAACATGTTACTGTTGTATTGTGTTGTATAACAACATGTTACTGTTGTATTGTGTTGTATAACAACATGTTACTGTTGTATTGTGTTGTATAACAACATGTTACTGTTGTATTGTGTTGTATAACAACATGTTACTGTTGTATTGTGTTGTATAACAACATGTTACTGTTGTATTGTGTTGTATAACAACATGTTACTGTTGTATTGTGTTGTATAACAACATGTTACTGTTGTATTGTGTTGTATAACAACATGTTACTGTTGTATTGTGTTGTATAACAACATGTTACTGTTGTATTGTGTTGTATAACAACATGTTACTGTTGTATTGTGTTGTATAACAACATGTTACTGCTGTATTGTGTTGTATAACAACATGTTACTGTTGTATTGTGTTGTATAACAACATGTCACTGTTGTATTGTGTTGTATAACTATATGTTACTGTTGTATTATGTTGTATAGCAACATGTTATTGTTGTATTGTGTTGTATAGCAGCATGTTACTGTTGTATTATGTTGTATAACGACATGTTACTGTGGATATTGTTGCATAACTATATGTTACTGTTGTATTATGTTGTATAACAATATGTTACTGTTGTATTGTGTTGTATAACTATATGTTACTGTCGTATTATGTTGTATAGCAACATGTTATTGTTGTATTGTGTTGTATAGCAACATGTTATTGTTGTATTGTGTTGTATAGCAGCATGTTACTGTTGTATTATGTTGTATAATAACATGCTACTGTGGATATTGTTGCATAACTATATGTTATTGTTGTATTATGTTGTTATACAACATGTTACTGTGGATATTGTTGTATTATGTTGTATAACTATATGTTCCTGTCGGTGTATGTTGTATAAGAATATGTTTCTCTTTTGCTATTTTATACAGCAATCTTTTTCTGTTGTGTAATTTGCTTGACACTGTTCTGTTGTTTATTGTTGTATGACAAAATGTTTCTGTTGTATCATTTTGTATAACGACATATATTTCTGTGGTTGTGTATGTAATAACATTTTGTTTCTGTGAAATAACTAATTCCTGTGGAGCTATTTGATATATCCGGCACACTATATAGAACGCATAAAATGTTGTTAAACACTGAATAAAGATAAGGGCAATAAACTTACTTACTGTTTGTCTGGAGGTATTGTGTACTTACCTTCAGATGTTGTATTTATTTGGCAAAGTGGCCCGTTATTATACTGTTTGCCTCAATAACCTGTACCCAGACCTTTCTGAATTCTGTTCTTCAGTTGCTGGGTGTATGCTTGTCGCAGACGCAGGTATTACACTAGTGCTCGCTGGTGTTGTCACAAGGAGACAAAACGCTGTCCTGTTTTATGTATTTGTTTTAATCATGATAAAGTAGAATTTTGGATTTCATATAATTGTGACATGGAAGGCAAATGCATCCTGTCTTCCCAAACACCGCGCTGATAAGTATTAGGTGATGGATAGACGATAGCTATTCTGTTTTAACAGATGAGTGGTTAATGCTATCTGTGTCGTTTAATCCTGGTCTGGCAGGGTTTCACACAGCGCCTAATGTTTGGTGTGACTTCAATGATTGGACATTGGACAACTATACCTATCTACCTCAAGGTCGATACTTTTATTTGTGCAACTTCATGCAAATTTATGCAAAATAAACGGGAATAACAAACTAAAGTTAGTACGAAGTCTTATACACATACACACAAGATAAAGCTTAAGTGGCAGTGGGGTTGGAATCTGAACTTATTAAATATTTTCAAAAGATTTCAAATTATACATGGCATTTGAATAATCCGTAAGGTCAAGTACAATATATTTTCTCATTTACAACATTAAAGAAATAATTCTCGTTGTGACACCATGACACTTACCAAATGTCTATGACTTCTTTTTCAAAAGTATTTATCTATTTCAAAATGTTACTGTTTAAACAATAAAAATAATAATTCATACTCCAAAGACTCTACCGGATATACCTTTACTGTTACTTGACTTTTTTTTATGCTGAATTCGGTTGTAACCATGAACTACGTACATATTTATATTAAATGTGTTACACACCAGGATTCACCATGGACACAAACATCCATACACAAATTAAAATATGAACATCGAGGAAAACATGAAGACAAACAACGATCCACTATGCAAAATAAGCCAAATTATCACAGTATGTTATAAATTTACACTTTATGGTAAAAATGATATTTATGGACAATATGAACGTATTGGATCAGCTATATCAACAAGTATACTTTTGGGTATAGGCTCTGCTTTTTTGTGTATTAAGTGTATTTTAGATATTGACATTTAGGCAAATGTATTTGCATCGTTCACATTAGCATCGCTTGTAACGTGCTGAATGTTGCACTGACAGGGCCACGAACATGTAATCATAATATGTACACCACGAACACACCACCACAATACACACAAATGGAGCACGAACATTTCACCACAACACACACGTGATATGAAACATTTTGAATGCTGACATGACAAGGGCTACATACATACAACCACATAAAACACATGATAAGTTGAGTACAATATCCCAACTGTGCTGGAGAACGCAGGGCCCTCAACCTTGGCAATCCCTACCCCAACTGTTGCTGGAGAACCCATGACCCTTCAACCCTGGCAATCCCTATTCCAACTGTTGGTGGAGAACCCATGGCTCTGCAACCCTGGCAATCCCTACCCCAACTCTTTTTAGAGCAATAAAACAATTGAAACCGTAAAAAAGAACAAACAATTTGTATGATAACCACATCACCTCGTGTAGTTAAACTATTAATGTAACACCACTGGTGATGATTTATACCATATGTCAATGATCATTTATACATAAATAATATTTTACTTGTTCAACCTCAACAAGCAATGATAACGTATCATCATTATTATCACACCATAAGGTACACATATCGCTATCAGTACGCCTGGTACAGTCTGGACTGTTTACTGTGATATATATCCCGGGCTCCAGCTGGGATCACTTATACAATTCTTCAGAGCTTGCTTTCCCCTTCACGCCTAAATATGGCGCGTTCTTTCACGGGGACGATGCTTATAACTTTATTTCTTATAACATGTTTTGTTAGCACCATATCTACTGAAGATGTGTCGTATCAAACTCTGTTAGTGGAAGGAATGAAGAAAATTCAGGCTATACCGCAAAACCAGCCATCAATACAATTAGACGTTAAAGCTAACCTCGACCAGCTTTGGGAATTCCAAGATTCGATCGACCCCTACAGGATATTGACCGGATCACCTAGGCCCCGGGCAAGCCCTGGGGTAGGGGCTGTGGTCGGTGGGTTTAACGTATCAGACACATGTTATAACGACACACAATTAATTGGCACAGCCGCCATGGCGGTGCAACTTTGGGCACTGAAAAGTAAGTATTGCTTCTATTTATACATCAGAAATATATTTGTCCGTGCAATTATTAGCCATTATATTTTATGGTGATAAAGAAATAAGACGCAGATATGCTGTCGGAGTTTAAAACAATACTTAAAAGAAGCGAGATTGGAAAACATTTATGGAAAAAATGGAGACGATAACAGTTTTTATCAAATGTTTCTAAATATTAAACTTGATAGTTGTTGACAGAGTGAATGTACAGAAATGCCGGGATTTTGGTCCCAGTTACACATTTTGAACGTTGGTTTCTTGTCTTTCACGGTCACGGTCGGATGATTCTCATAACATGAAGCGTTAATTCAGTGGGTATGCATATTGCTTAAGTCTTTCAATATGGCGCGTACCAGGCGGATATGGATCCGTCCAGGATATGACATACACAGTTAGCAGCATCACACACATTATATTTCGTGTATTATGATTAAATATATGACTAAGGTAAGGGGATGTTTCAAGACATAATTACTGGCGGGCAGCTCTGGCCTTACTTACTTTTTTTACCAACATTTTCGAATCGGGACCCTGTGCTTTGTTTTGTAGTGATAGACGCCAGCGGGAAGCCTCCGAGTGACATTGTGAACGGAAACCAAGGCTGGTTCGGCTCATACGACGAATGTCTGAGTGTGAAAAGCGACAAGTACGAATACGGCCAGACGCCCCCACATTTCAATGGAAAATATTGCATAGTGAACTTACCATTGGATATTCTAAGTTTACCACTACCGAATGCAAACCTTGGACTGTGTCTCCCAGACTCGTGTTCACCTGCGGATGCCGTGGCACTAACCAATGCAGGTAAATTAACAGTGTTTTGTAGGGTCAATATATTCTCTCTTTAATTCTGGTGTTTGATGGCTTGACACTTACATGTATATCAAAATCGTTTTGTAGGGTTATGTCGTCTCATCTTCTCTTTTGATGTTTCGTGCCTCTCTCTTGCATCGCTTAAGTGCCGCGTGTGTCCTTTTGTATTGTTACTCCAGATTGCTGTGTCCTTGTGTGTTGACCCTGTGGTAAATTTGTCCTTGTGTGTTGACCCTGTGGTAAATTTGTCCTTGTGTATCGACGTTGTGGGATAATTTGTCCTTGTGTGTTGACCCTTTGGTATAATTTGTCCTTGTGTATCGACGTTGTGGGATAATTTGTCCTTGTATATCGACGTTGTGGTATAATTTGGCCTTGTGTGTTGACCCTGTGGTAAATTTGTCCTTATGTATCGACGTTGTGGTATAATTTGTCCTTGTATATCGACGTTGTGGTATTATTTGTCCTTGTGTATCGACGTTGTGGTATAATTTGTCCTTGTATATCGACGTTGGGGTATAATTTGTCCTTGTGTATCGACGTTGTGGTATAATTGGTTATGTCGTCTCATCTTCTCTTTTGATGTTTCGTGCCTCTCTCTTGCATCGCTTAAGTGCCGCGTGTGTCCTTTTGTATTGTTTCTCCAGATTGCTGTGTCCTTGTGTGTTGACCCTGTGGTAAATTTATCCTTGTGTGTTGACCCTGTGGTAAATTTGTCCTTTTGTGTTGACCCTGTGGTAAATTTGTCCTTGTGTGTTGCCCCTGTGGTAAATTTGTCCTTGTGTATCGACGTTGTGGTAAATTTGTCATTGTGTGTTAACCCTTTGGTAAATTTGTCCTTGTGTATCGACCTTGTGGTAAATTTGTCCTTGTGTGTTGCCCCTGTGGTAAATTTGTCCTTGTGTATCGACGTTGTGGTAAATTTGTCATTGTGTGTTAACCCTTTGGTAAATTTGTCCTTGTGTATCGACGTTGTGGTAAATTTGTCCTTGTGTGTTGACCCTTTGGTAAATTTGTCCTTGTGTATCGACCTTGTGGTAAATTTGTCCTTGTGTGTTGCCCCTGTGGTAAATTTGTCCTTGTATATCGACGTTGTGGTATAATTTGTGCTTGTGTGTTGACCCTTTGGTATAATTTGTCCTTGTGTATCGACGTTGTGCTATAATTTGTGTTTGTGTATCGACGTTGTGGTATAATTTGTCCTTGTATATCGACGTTGTGGGATAATTTGTCCTTGTGTATCGACGTTGTGGTATAATTGGTTATGTCGTCTCATCTTCTCTTTTGATGTTTCGTGCCTCTCTCTTGCATCGCTTAAGTGCCGCGTGTGTCCTTTTGTATTGTTTCTCCAGATTGCTGTGTCCTTGTGTGTTGACCCTGTGGTAAATTTGTCCTTTTGTGTTGACCCTGTGGTAAATTTGTCCTTGTGTGTTGGCCCTGTGGTAAATTTGTCCTTGTGTGTTGACCCTTTGGTAAATTTGTCCTTGTGTATCGACCTTGTGGTAAATTTGTCCTTGTGTGTTGACCCTGTGGTAAATTTATCCTTGTGTGTTGACCCTGTGGTAAATTTGTCCTTTTGTGTTGACCCTGTGGTAAATTTGTCCTTGTATATCGACGCTGTGGTATAATTTGTCCTTGTGTGTTGACCCTTTGGTATAATTTGTCCTTGTGTATCGACGTTGTGGTATAATTTGTCCTTGTGTATCGACGTTGTGGTATAATTTGTCCGTTAATACCTTTCCACAGACAACAAAAGTCGACGTAACATAGCGACAATGTTGATATCAATCATATCTCTTACACAGAAAACCAAAGTGAGTTAGATATCCCTGATTAATCTGATACATCAAACACGGGCAGTCCTCTAAATCATAATTATATTTCTTTTAAGTAAAACAATAACACCCTTATATAGCGATATAGAGCCAGGACACCGGTTCTTTTCACTACAGGTTGGACAAAGGAAACAAACGTTTTTAAAAGCTCTAAAAGAAAGTTTTTCATTGGTGTTTGTGTTCAAAACAAACTTAGCATATGCCATTCAAAAAGGTTTCTTTTAACTAACTGGTTTAGTATATATATCAATCTATAAGTAAATAATGAGGTTCCTCTGAAGTAAATAAATTAAAGTATCCTTGAGTAATGGACTGACAATGTGATAACTCAGTTTTAAACATTCGTTTAGCGCTTTCAACCATTCAGCCTGGAAAACTATCCAAGTTTGCGGAGTGTAAGAAGGAAACACTGGAGTTCGATGACAAGGCGATCGGTGCTGTGTAAGTTGGCTCATTTTATATGCACTCAAAAAAATAAAAATGGATTTTATTTCAAACAACATGCTAACAGAGCTTCGTGACGTTTCGAATTTCAGATGTCGAATAAGATATAAGATGTCGAATAAGATATAAGATGTCAAATAAGATATAAGATGTCGAATAAGATGTCAAATAAGATATAAGATGTCAAATAAGATGTCAAATAAGATATAAGATGTCAAAGACATTTCCTCATTAAACCAAGTCAAATACTACTTCAGGATTCAGAATAATACTCTCAAGGATCAACGGAAAGACCCGAGTAATTGATATACAGCGTATACTTTAGATCATTTTCACCCGTTTACTCTAGTGTGTATATTATAAAAAAAAATAGATTTCATCTTTCCGATGTGCAAACAATAGCATTAAAACATACCATACTTTAATATTGAAACGTTTTAAAAAAAATGATCATAGTAAAAACAATAATAGTTTACAGCTCTTATTATATTCTTAATAAATAAAGAATAATATCATTTAAGGACTGGGCAACAAAGTTTGAATATGTTCTAGCATTATGTGTGGATTTATCCTGGCGATGATGATAGTGGGCACAGCGTTTGATGTGATAGTGGTAAAGGGTATGACACCTTTAAGCAGAATGAACCGAACGGTATCCGGCACGACGGAAACCACAACGTTTGTATCAGGACAGAGCTGCGAAAAAACTCCTTTAGTATCGAACGAAATCACTCCGCCACCAGTAGTAACGCGAGACCAACCGGTAGAGCTTGGTGAGTATCTGACATGTCAGGTTCCCTCTCAGATTAAAACACAGTTGTCACATCATTTTTTTGTTCTCGCTGTACATTGTATAGTATAATGTACATACCTGTAGCTGTTCATTATTAAGCCGTAACTGTTCATTATTGCGTTTTCTATTGGGCAGCTACTGGCTTAGTAATGGACAGTTACAGTTAACTAAATCATTTTTTAGGATCCCTGTCAACCGCGCTGTGGTTTTCCCTATATGCAGTAACCTTCTTCTAACTTATTTTGGATATATTCAACTGTAGCAAAATACGACCAGGACATATCCGACGAATAGATAACTCAGTCGGTTAGACCGAGATTTTAGCAAGCTGAAATTTAAGGTTGAAATCCGGATGTAGCCCGCGGTGTTCCTTTTACCCAGAAGACATTGTTGTTGATTACATTGTTGTTGATTACATTTTGTTGATTTCATCTTGAATACTTCTCATAAAAGACCCGCAAGGTATGGTTTTCTTTTCAGGACTAATTCATCCACGCTTTAGCCATGGCCATATTTCTATACTTAGGTACAGCTTTTGGCAGTGGTACGGGGATTCTCAAGCACTAGCAATTTTGTAGAAGCAAATTCACAATTTACAGGCCTATTAGATATGTGTACATTTAAATATGATAAAAATATTACAGTAAAATATAACCCTTTGAACACCACCGACTGGATTTGTTGATCCATGAATAATCAATCGGACCATATCACTTTTTAATTTTATTGAAGAAAATGTCTTTGAGAACAAATTAATCCAGTAGAGGTTTGTAAAACTTGTTCAATGTGGGAATACGGTAATCCAACAATTATTTAAAAAAAATGAATATTAATGGAATGGAAAAAGATCTGAAGCTGATTCAGGAATAATCCAACAGATCTTTGCATATTATGATGCATGCCTGGGGGAGGTAGAATTAACGAATTCAATAGACATTTCGTGGTGATTTTCTGGAAGTGAGATAATTGAACTGCCACCAGATTTGCAGTTACAGCGAAATCTCAACCTTCGGAATATGTTTTAGGTTCTGCACTCAGCAGACTCTTGGGTTGTGATTTCCTTCTGTACGTAACCTACGACTGATGTTATTCCAATGCTCTATGTTATGCATGCTTACATAACATAGCAATGTTTTTTTTACACAAAACATTGATGGCAGTATGCTCTAGTTGATTGTAAAGGAAGAATTGTTTATCCTAAATTCTAGTAAATCATTCAAATATGACTTCAACTGATATGTAATAAAACAATGATGTAAATGTTTTTAACATTGATAACGAATTGCCGGTATCATCGATGTATTATCATTATAATTTTTATTTTTCTCAAACCAGGAATGATGTCAAACATATTGGTGGCGTTTTCTGTCTACACAAATGGCGCCAAACTTCTGAACACCAGTGCTCCGCCCGGTAGTTTGACGGCTCTTAATGGTATCCGTTTTCTGAGTATGACCTGGGTCATTCTTGGACACACCTACTCGACGGGGATGAATTACGTTCGTGAGTACTAAGAGTAGACACTTCTCTCTCGATTCAATGATTACTTTTGGTTCAGCTTTTGTCATTGTGTTTTTTAGGTTGTGGGTTATTGTTTCTTGTGTGTTGACAGTGAAGTGTGTTTTTCTTAGTTTTTTGTTTTAGGTTGTTGCATTGAAATGTCTGTGTTGTGTGATTCGTCCTTGTCTGATGTCCATGCGGTATTTGTATGCCAATGTGCTGACACTATGGTACACTGTTTTAGTTTGTCTTTGTGACTTCGGCACCCTCGATACTTCAGGGGTTTCGCTCACGTTCGCTCTCTGCACCCCTAACATATACCATAGCAAAATAATTGAAGACTTAGTGTGCACCATCTTGTGGATGAGACAGTAACACTAGTTTGATCCCTTGATGTACACCAAAAGAATCTCGCTCTCGCGTAACGGTGAAATTAACGAGCTCTGATGCCGAGTGTGGCTCCTCTGTAATCTTCAAAAAAGTATCAGCCTCGCGATTGGTCGTAAATTTTTCCCGAGAGCAATCGAATAGCTAGCTGTGTGCGTACAATTTTGATATGACATGTTGCAGCAGGGAAGTAAAGGGCGAAAGTGAACGAAACCCCTGGAGTATCGAGAATGAACGATCGGATGCATTTTGTCATTCTGTGTTGACTCTATGGTGTATTCTGACGTTGATTGTTCATATTTGTCAGTGTGTTGACACTACGGTTCATATTTGTCAGTGTGTTGACACTACGGTATATATTTGTCAGTGTGTTGACACTACGGTATATATTTGTCAGTGTGTTGACACTACGGTATATATTTGTCAGTGTGTTGACACTACGGTATATTTTTTGCCAGTGTGTTGACACTGGTATATTTTTTGCCAGTGTGTTGATACTGTGGTATATATTTTGCCAGTGTGTTGACACTACGGTGAATTTTTTGCCTGTGTGTTGTCACTACGGTATATTTTTCGCCATTATGTTTACACTACGGTATATTTTGCCAGTGTGTTGACAATATGGTATAATTTTTGCTAGTATGTTGACACCGGTATATTTTTTTTGCCAGTGTGTTGATACTGTGGTATATATTTTGCCAGTGTTTTGACACTACGGTTTATTGTTTTGCCAGTGTGTTTACACTACGGTAAATTATTTGCCAGTGTGTTTACACTATGGTATATTTTTTGCCAGTGTGTTGACACTACGGTGTATTTTTTGCCAGTGTGTTGACACTGGTATATGTTTTTGCCAGTGTGTTGACAATATGGTATGTTTTGCCAGTTTGTTTACACTACGGTGTATTTTTTGCCAGTGTGCTGACACTACGGTATATATTTTTGCCAGTGTGTTTACACTACGGTAAATTATTTGCCAGTGTGGTGACAATGTGGTTTATTTTTTGCCAGTGTGTTGACAATACGGTATACTTTTCGCCAGTGTGTTGACACTCCAGGATACGTTTTGCCAGTGTGTTAACACTATGGTATACTTTGTCTTTGCGAGTTTACGATCGGATGTATTTTGTCATTGTATGTTGACGCTGTAATATATTTTGTCATTTTGTGTTGACACTGTAATATATTTTGTCATTGGATGATGACGTTGCGGTTTATGTTCTTCTTTGTTTTGTTGATGATTTTGTATATTTTGTCTTTGTGTGGTGACGCTAGGAAACCTTGTTTTCTATTTCATTTGTAGATAATGTTTCTACATTTTGGCCGAAAATGATAGAGCGATGGACCTTCCAGGCTATCATAAATGCACTGGTTTCCGTGGATACATTCTTTGCGCTTAGGTAATAGTGTATATAACTATCTATTTGTGTTACTATCTATAGAGCCCAGTTAACAATAAAATCATAAACAAAGGGAATACAACGGTTGAACAAAATGTCGCTAGGTGCCTTTTCAATTGATGTCTTGTGTTATGTTTTATTTCTTTACCAAAACAAAAAAACGCACAGCTACAAAACGCCTGAATTTTTGAAAATAAAACTACTTTTTTGGAAGTGTACACGTATCCCGCTGATATTAAAAACGAAAATCCAGCTATCAAATTCAATCCATATGTTTCCTGAAACGTGCCCGTGTGCGCATGAAATAAATGAGAGCATTGTTTTGTCTTATTTTAAAGTTATTCCACCCATTTCCCAACACCAGCTTCCAGTTGGCAACGATCTTTGCAATATTTCGACGTTTTCGTGCCCTATGTTATAGTTCGTTCAACAGACGCTTATGCGAGAATAAATTTGGACCAAGGGCGGGGACGGGATGGGGGTTAGAGTGTTATGACTATGTGGTCTTACACTGTCTTCTTAGAAGTGGTTGGACGTATGACATACGCAATTTCCATCTGTTTCGGAGCGATTGGATTTGAACTGTTTGTTGATCCATGTTTACACAATTAGGACCAACAATAGTTTTGTAGCTCATTCGGTATTCCGAAACGGTTGTACAAACGCGCTAGCTGTATTATGTGATATTGACGTTGCGGCGTTGAGCTGGCGACGATTGCGCGAACGATTGAAAGAGCTTTTCTCACACTTGTTCCGTTAAACGTGTCATATCAACTTTTTGGAGTCAACGCGTATATATGTACATAGCTATGTATGCTTTTTAATTATTTTTCCAATTCAACAACTTTCTATTGTTAGACGCACGTTATTTACAGGCGCTATTTTTAACTTTCTTTGGGCGGGTGCATCCACAAACCGAAAACGCTTAAGCGATCCCAAATAAGCAAATATAGTTGTGAATGGCTCATTTACACTGTTTCTAAAATTTAGTATCGAGATAAGGATATTTAACCAGATACGCTAAGGTTTCCCCCTGTGTATTTCCTTTTTGGTCGAGTTTAAATTTTTTGCATTGGTGCATTTATAAGATAACATTTTAAAATAAAAAAATAGTATTTTACAGTTTTCAAAGAAGCGATTTCGAAGAATCAATACGACAAATAACTCCAGAAAAAAATATTTAAAAAAATAATTAAAAGAGCAATCTTGTTGTTGACCTTCCATTAATTTTATGCAATTCATTACAAGTGGTTTGTTGGTGTCCTACCTCTTCATGCGCGAGATGGAAAAGACAAAAGGCAAGATGAATTGGGGCCTGTTCTACTTTCATCGATTCTGGAGGTAAATATGTTCTACTTTCATCGATTCTGGAGGTAAATATGTTCTACTCCAGTGATTCTGGAGGTAAATATGTTCTACTCCAGTGATTATGGATGTAAATTTGTTCTACTATCATCGATTCTGGAGGTAAATATGTTCTACTTCAGTGATTCTTGAGGTAAATATGTTCTACTCCAGTGATTCTGGAGGGGCCTGTGTTCTTCTTCTGGTAATTAAGCAGGTACTTACCTGTATACCTCTGAAGGTAGATATAGCCTACTTCTGCCAACTCAGCAGGTTATTATCTCTTATGCTGTCTCAATTTTTAGTCAATTATATTTTACTTATGGCTATTCCAGAGGCAGCTAGATTCAACGTTCGGAGATTTTGAGATAACAAAAGTAAATCTAATGCTATTTTTGACAATTTAAAATAAATGTTATACTGTTTTAAGTATAAATAACCCAGCAACGGAGCTGCTATTTTGACACTCTTTATAGGTGTTTACCAATCTTTATGTCTATTCCAGATTGACTCCGCCGTATATGCTCGTGCTCTTTGTTGAGGTGACACTAACGCGTTATTTCGCAAATGGTCCCTTTTGGCCAGAGGGAGGATTTGAAAAAGACTTTTGTGAAGATACATGGTGGACTAACCTGTTGTATATCAACAACTTAGTAAAGACTGATAAAACGGTATGTTAAATATGACCAGTATATGTATTTGATAGCCAATAGGATCGAGGATACATTGTACGAATAATGCATAACATCGAATGAACTCATTCTGATTAAATAGTGTTCATTGCATTTGCTGAAATCAAGTAGTGTTATTAATAAATTATTACAGTGAAATACGAAGACAATGAGATCAGTATGATGAGAAAAATATTAAAGCCCTATTCGGTAAACATTATTCATTATATGATGTTATATGCTAAATAAATTTATAATAAAATGGCATTGACAAATTATTTTTAGAAATATTAGTATGGTATTGGACGATGTGTAACGGTATAACAGTAATGAGGGATAATTGTTGATACCTTTTGTATCTGGATATGGTGCTTCATCGATGATTGTCTTGGTGTAATATTTGTTTTATGGTTCAGTGTTTTGTCTGGACCTGGTACCTCGCCAATGATAAGTCTTGGTGTAATATTGGTTAATTGTTTCAGTGTTTTGCCTGGGCCTGGTACCTCGCCAATTATTGTTTCAGTGTTTTGCCTGGGCCTGGTACCTCGCCAATGATATGTCTTGGTGTAAAATTGGTTTATTGTTTCAGTGTTTTGCCTGAGCCTGGTACCTTGCCAATGATATGTCTTGGTGTAATATTGGTTTATTGTTTCAGTGTTTTGCCTGGGCCTGGTACCTCGCCAATGATATGCAGTTCTTTGTGCTGAGTCCGTTAATGTTGGTTCCGTTGTTTTAGTAAGTTCAGGCTCCCTCATATAGTCGCATAATGCTAAACTGGAAATTGGTTTTGCCAATGTTTCTAAACAGTTGTTATTAACCTATTCAAAGACAAAATGACCCTTTAAATGTTCAACTGAACTAGCAAGTGTTCGATGAAAACAATAATCTCCGATCACAACACGATGATTCACGTTTCTTTTTATCAACGAAGTCATGTACTATGGATATTTTTGTCGAACATAAAAGGCAATGTAAATTGTAACGTCACAAAGGATATTAAGGTGTCAGAGTATTGACTAGAAGAAAGTAAAGTACATGTAAACATTACCACAAAAAAAGAAAAGAAATTGAACTTAACTTTGATACAAAAACAACAACATGAAGTGTTTAGACGCCAAACCAATCTGATAGATAATATAGATCAACAGAATAAGATTGTTGCGGGACCAGGTACTCCGCAAGGATAAGATATCATTGTACCATAATATTATATGGTATCCGTTTACACTTCAAACATTTATCATTTGGTCTCGAGACAAACTCAATATGAATTACTGGGCAGTTAACTAGATTTGTCTCAAGATGAACTCAACAAGAAATCTCCCAAGGGAGGATTGCATGTTAAAATGAAATTCAGCTCTGATGTCGTCATGTATCGTCTTTTCGTTCGATTTAGGTCCATGTGTATTGACGGATGTGATATTTCTTTGTTTCTATTATACACTTAGGTCAATGATTTATGCACACACTTATGTTTCCGTAGTTCCAAGTTTATAGGTATGGCTGTGTGCCTTGCTTTCCTTACGGGTACCTTCATAGCTACAGGAGTAATATCTACAAAGTACGACCTGCCAGTGTCTACCTTCATACCAAGGTAAGTTTTCATGTTTAACCAACTGTTTGTGAGTTCATGTATACAAATTGCATTGCAAATTGCGTATAGATTGCGTATTGATTGCGTACGGTACTCAATATTGCCACTTATCTTTTGAAAATATAATTACCAGCAAATTCAGATGATTTCAGATTTGTAAAGACATACATAGGTTTATTTTCAGGAGGAATTAACTTTCGCCCTAATTAGCGTCAAGATTTAATTCGATTTGTTTTTTAAATACTTGTTCTAGAGATTATTCCTATCAGCATTTAATTGCAATTCTTTAACTGCGTATTTCAGTATTAACGAAACAAACCATCTTCACGTGAAAAAAAGTGTTGTACAGTAGTTAGCGTAGCGTCATGGATAAATAATTTACAATATGGTGATTATAATTATGTAAAGATGCTCGTTCGCCGAGAATGGTTTAGCAGTAATCACCCTTAAGGTACAGGGTATTAATGTTATTTACATATATCGTGGCAATATAAGATTGAAAAGAACAATTTCAGATAATCAAATATAGTAGCCTCAATGCATATGAACTATTATAACTATTAAGAATGTTAAAACTTCCTCTTCATATGCACTTATTACTTTGATAATTGGCATTCTCTATTCGAATAAATGTTGTAGTTTTCTAACTTCTCTACTGGTCTACTTTTATACTTTCTTACGATTAAGACGGGAACATATCATAAGCTTGTTCAAATTTCTTTTCAAGCGAAAAGTATTTTGATTATTATTATATCAAACCCTGGACGCGTATGGGCCCATACATCATTGGCATTATGGCCGGATACTTGCTGTACCGTTCAAAACTCAGATACAACATGCATAGGGTAAGGATGAATTTAAAAAACATGTCATAACATTATACACATTATGTTATTAACAAGTTATAAATGACTTACCTATACACGTGTTCTTGTTCACTTTCTAATTTAGCATCAAATGCATTAATTAAGCCTATATCACCAGTCCTTTTTTAGAGAATATATATTAATATAGAATGAACATCAATGAAAGAGTATCTCCGCTAAATCAGTATTGGACTATTACAAGCAGAACGTGACAGGCGATATGCCGGATTTGTGTTTTTATTTTAGTCTTGACGTTAGATAACGCACGATAATTGCACGAGGATACCATTATTGGCATTTTACAAATATCGTTTGATAATGAAACGGAAAGGTTAACAGTCCAGACCTGATTTCATTTCAATAAATTATTCCGAAATAAATACAGACATACAATATTTAAAGGGGATATTATTGTGAGAAAGGTTTGCGTTTTGATACTCCGCAGCTTTAAGTGAGTTTTTCTTCGTAATTTGGGGTTTCGTTGTCCTCAACCAAAAGCGTTTTTGTGGAGACTTGACCTTTTTTCATATTTTGCCCTAGTTTTGGTTCTGATAATTTGTTTTCTTTCGCATATGAAACCGGTATTAAAAATACGTCTAGTTACATTTTTGTTTGAATACCCTAACAACCAATCAGTGATACTGGTCACTCGTACAATAACTTCTGTTTGAATACCCTACCATCCAATCAGTGATACTGGTCACTCGTACAATAACTTCTGTTTGAATGCCCTACCAACCAATCCGTGATCCTGGTCACTCGTACAATAACTTCTGTTTGAATGCCCTACCAACCAATCCGTGATCCTGGTCACTCGTACAATAACTTCTGTTTGAATGCCCTACCAACCAATCCGTGATCCTGGTCACTCGTACAATAACTTCTGTTTGAATACCCTACCAACCATTCAGTGATACTGGTCACTCGTACAATCACTTCTGTTTGAATACCCTACCACCCAATCAGGGATACTGGTCACTCGTACACGGACATTCTTGTATAAAATCATTCAATAGCTAATTGTTACATCACATTCATGTACCAATCAGTCGTCGATGGTTTTGAAATTTATAGTATTGTTTGAATGTATTTAAATTCCTAAATAGTTTAAATGACTTAAACCAACAATATGATTATATGTAGGATACTGGTCACTCGTACAATAACTTCTGTTTGAATGCCCTACCAACCAATCCGTGATCCTGGTCACTCGTACAATAACTTCTGTTTGAATCCCCTAACAACCAATCAGTGATACTGGTCACTCGTACACGGACATTCTTGTATAAAATCATTCAATAGCTAATTGTTACATCACATTCATGTACCAATCAGTCGTCGATGGTTTTGAAATTTATAGTATTGTTTGAATGTATTTAAATTCCTAAATAGTTTAAATGACTTAAACCAACAATATGATTATATGTAGGATACTGGTCACTCGTACAATAACTTCTGTTTGAATGCCCTACCAACCAATCCGTGATCCTGGTCACTCGTACAATAACTTCTGTTTGAATGCCCTACCAACCAATCCGTGATCCTGGTCACTCGTACAATAACTTCTGTTTGAATCCCCTAACAACCAATCAGTGATACTGGTCACGCGTACAATAACTTCTGTTTGAATACCCTAACAACCATTCAGTGATACTGGTCCCTCGTACAATCACTTCTGTTTGAATACCCTAACCACCAATCAGTGATACTGGTCACTCGTACAATAAATTTGTTTTCTTTCGCATATGAAACCGGTATTAAAAATACGTCTAGTTACATTTTTGTCTGAATACCCTAACAACCAATCAGTGATACTGTTCACTCGTACAATAACTTCTGTTTGAATACCCTACCATCCAATCAGTGATACTGGTCACTCGTACAATAAATTTGTTTTCTTTCGCATATGAAACCGGTATTAAAAATACGTCTAGTTACATTTTTGTATGAATACCCTAACAACCAATCAGTGATACTGTTCACTCGTACAATAACTTCTGTTTGAATACCCTACCATCCAATCAGTGATACTGGTCACTCGTACAATAAATTTGTTTTCTTTCGCATATGAAACCGGTATTAAAAATACGTCTAGTTACATTTTTGTTTGCATACCCTAACAACCAATCAGTGATACTGGTCACTCGTACACGGACATTCTTGTATAAAATCATTCAATAGATAATTGTTACATCACATTCATGTACCAATCAGTCGTCGATGGTTTTGAAATTTATAGTATTGTTTGAATGTATTTAAATTCCTAAATAGTTTAAATGACTTAAACCAACAATATGATTATATGTAGGATACTGGTCACTCGTACAATAACTTCTGTTTGAATATCCAACCAACCAATCAGTGATACTGGTCACTCGTATAATAACTTCTGTTTGAATACCCTACCAACCAATCCGTGATACTGGTCACTCGTACAATAACTTCTGTATGAATACCCTACCAACCAATCAGTGATACTGGTCACTCGTACACGGACATTCTTGTATAAAATCATTCAATAGATAATTGTTACATCACATTCATGTACCAATCAGTCGTCGATGGTTTTGAAATTTATAGTATTGTTTGAATGTATTTAAATTCCTAAATAGTTTAAATGACTTAAACCAACAATATGATTATATGTAGATATTGAAGAAATTCTTTCTTGAATTGTTGTTCAATGAGTTTTTGTATAAATGCCTCTTTTGAATTCATTCTTGTATTCTCGCCTCCAACTGTTCAATACTTACTACGATATAATTTGCAGGTCCTCAATCTTCTCGGCTGGGCCGTAGCCACTACCATGGCTTGTGTGGTATTGTATGGTCTTTATGAGCCGCTAAGAGGGAACGAAACGTTGAGCACGGAGGTGTCAGCCCTGTACAACACTGTTCACAGGAGCATCTGGGGGGCTTGCGTCTGCTGGGTTATATTTTCCTGTGCAAACGGAAGTGGGGGTAAGTACATTGCAATTTTACAGCACCAAAATGTCCTTAAATAAAACAGGAATTATTGAGAGATTTTGATTTATTAGATGGATGTGACAACTACCATCAATGACATTATAAATTATGTATCAGAGCGTTCATCCTGTAATGATTTACGAATTAAAATTTGGACTGTCAAAACCGATATAAATATACGTACGATCTGAAAGATTTATGTTTTTATTCTATATATAAATAGGGCTTCTTCAGGCCGATTGGTGTGTGTTTATTACCGTTGGTTACATGACGTCATCAATATTTGCATAGTCAACAATTTTAGTGACGTCACAAACAATACCAGGACAAAGAAAACATCTTCACAAAATGCATTGTAAAAATCAGTGTGCATTAAAGCTGGGTTTGAGGGCTTTTATAAACATTTTTTCTATAAATTCTCTTGCAACTATATCGTCGCTATTCAGTTTGTAAATAGGTAACACATAAAAATCATATTTAGAATATTGATGCCCATGTTTGCTAACTTTTAAAAATCTTTGTATAATATCTATATTCATGATAAGCATGATGTTGATTAAAGTATCAAGTATGAATCAATTAGTTTGTTATCGTTATTCATCCTGACCGGAAGGTTAACTTCCACTCTAATCTCAAGCGCACTTATGTCTTTGATTCGAAGCGTGACTGAGGTGGCCTGTGTTCATCTCCCAATTGTAATGATATTTAATGAAAGTTGTGTATTTTATTTGTGTTAAAAGGTTGAAACTTTTGTTGATAGGATTTGTAAACACCCTATTGTCCTGGAGCGGGTTCGTGCCACTAAGCCGTCTGACCTACTGTGCCTACCTGGTGCATCCTATTCTGCAGTTCACCGTTTATAGCAGTCTGAGACAACTGTTTGTTATGAGAGATCTGTCAATGGTATGTAAAAGTGGTTAACGTGTAACAATTAAACATTGAAAAATGTTAAACAACAGGTATTTGTATCCAATTATAATTTCATTTGATATAAGTAATATTCTATAATAAACTGTCGTTGATTGAAATATTCTTTATCCACAGAAACTTGCACTTGTTTGTCTCATTTCAGATAACTTACTTCCTGGCGTTTTTGGTAATGGCCTATGGTGTAGCCTTTGTCGTTTCCCTCGCGTTTGAATCGCCAATGATGGGGTTAGAGAAAGCGATTTTCAAACGAGGAAAGAAAAAATGAAACGAACGTCCACTAATTCATTAACAATATGGATGAACCTTTTGATGTCATACAAAAGTATTTTTCAGTGAATAATTCCTGTGATAGTGATATTCGCGTAACTGAAATAATAATGAAAAGTATTATATTTTATATTGGACAGAGAGGTGCAATTATATACATCATATTAGAAACAACATACAGGAATTCGTTAAGGACAAATTTCAATTAACACGTTTTTCAAAATCAACAGTGATGAAATAAAATAAAACATTTTATTTTGAAGTTATACTACATAATTAATATGACAACTTTGAATTAGCATTTAACTGAGGTAATTATATTGTCATGAACATGAGTTCGATTATCATTAAATTATCAGTAAAGTGGCACCATTGGATTATCATTGAAGTGAGGCCACTGTATGGAGTGGTGCCAAGACCATTAATTGTTATATCATTTTACAATTACTGTTTTTCGAAAAAAACTGTCTTGACTATGTTTCTTATAATTTATTCGGGCTATTTTTATTATGTTTACATCATCAATAATCCTATCTTTGGTTTTAATTTGAAATCAACGCGACATAGCAATTAATATGAACTGATGACATATGAACTGATGACTATTTTGTAATGTGAATATATCAGTTATTGGAACAGTCAAATAAGAACCTTTGAACACTTTTTGCATTTTTATTATGAAACATGTTATCATCGACTACGTCAAGTTTTTATTCGGGAAGCTGGTTCCAAGTAGTACTATACACTGTAGCTAGCTAGATAAAAACAGTACTATACACTGTAGCTAGCTAGATAAAAACAGTACTATACTCTGTAGCTAGCTAGATAAAAACAGTACTATACACTGTAGCTAGCTAGATAAAAACAGTACTATACACTGTAGCTAG